TAATGATGAATTGAAACTTGGCTCGCCGATCGATATTGCACACGTCCTTCACATGTTCGTTAACATCTTGCATTATGTTTCTCTTTGATAGCGTAAAATGGTAGTGATGAATTTTTTTCATGAATTTTTTCCATGAAATGTTTTTCATGAGTTTTTTTCATGAAATGTTTTTTATGAAATTCATCGCTTTTTCATGAAAGTCATGAAGTTTTTATAAAAACCCAAGACTGCTTTGCCTTTCATTCTGGATCCTAGATTGCACTAAGACGCATGCATAGTTCGGGTGAAGCTACGTCAGATCAAGTCATTTCGCCTTGAACGCTATGCATTTTAATACCATCAAAAAGTTTGCTACGTTTTTGTTTGATTTAGTCTGAATTAGCCGCCTGCAAGTAGCATCAGATAGATTATTCATGTGGTTCTTCCCATCCACCTCACAGCCTTTTCTGAATTGCCGCACTTCACATTTTGATCGTTTCAGCAGTGCACACTGTCGATTTGCTGCATCTCATCTTTGCTACCTCCTTTGATCATCTGCCACATACCTCTGGCGTATGAATTTTTTTACAAGTTTCACTCTTCTTTTTTTTCAGCCTTCTATCGTGGTTGCAACAATCGAGCAATTATCCGGCCGACCAGACCAGCGAATATTTTTCGCTGCTGCAAGCACTTGTGAAAGTGCCAAAAATTCGCAGTTTACTTCTTTCGAAGCCAATCTCATTCCATGTCGACATCGTTAAAAGTATTCTCCTGGCAAGTTTAAAAATCAAAATTTTCTAAATGAATTTTACGAATTTTATCATATGCAACGGATATCTGTGTTTTCATGAATTCAGCTATACATGTGTTAGTATTAGAATAATTTTTTTTTAGCATGCAAAATATGAAAGCATTAATTAATGAGTTAATGCGTGATCATTTTTGAATCGACAATGAAATTTGTTGAATCTGACTGACTTGCATTATTGGGGGATGGCAGTATATAGGGCTGTCAGGGGCATCATATGCAAAAACTTCATTATATATATATATTTCACAATATAGCTACGGTAGTAATCATTTGTGCAGTTCTTATTTTGGAAGCACAAATGCGTATTTTCTCAAAATAAAAATCCCTTAGGCTAACCAGCTGCTCATGCACAAGATGCTCATTAGCTTGCTCGTGAGTTAGCAAAAAATTACGTGAGGCTCTATTGATGTTGCAGAAACTCGGAGTTACCAGGCAAAAAAAAATAAAGCACTCGCCAGTTTATTGCAAATTTGGCACATGATCTTTTTCGCTCGGATAGTTAGTGCCGTCGTTGATTTTCCTGCTGAAAATTCCGTCGCGAAAATGTAAAAATTGTATGGACGTAGCCGCAAAATACTGGATAGCTAGGAATCCTTACCCATTTTGGCGCCTTTTATGAAAAATTTTCGCCTTACTCCCTTTCCTCCCTGGCCTGTTCTATTTAATATGGCATGGTTACATACTGTTTTTATAATTTTTCACTCTTAATCATACTTTAACTTTTCCTGAATGCTGTTGATACCGTTCGTACTCTCCCCATTCTGTAAGAAATACTGCCTTTTCGTGATATATCGACTCCTCTATCCGTGAAAGTTTTTTTTCTTAACTCTCATTTTCGAATATTTCTCGATCTTTCTGGCATTGTTAATGATGAATACGGTGAACGTTTCATCAGGACATAAAAAGCATCGAAACAAAACAAGGAAGAAAGAAGCCTGTTGCACTAAAAAACCCCTGCATGCTTCCTATTAGAAATCGGGACGACAAATGCGATGGCAAAAAAAATCGCGGATTTCTATCGGTATATGTCCTGTTTATGATGTGATCCCTTTTTTTGTACTCGTGATCCCTTGTACTTGAAGCGGCCTAGTGCCCCTAATCCCCTTTTTATACTTATTGATAAGTTGCAAAAATGAGATATAAATTCGAAAAGTGATGCTGAAATTTTACCAAAAAATGAAAGTTTTTAAAAAAAAAGCTGGTGGTGTATTTCAAAAAAGTAGATAAATAGTTAAAAAGTAGATAAAAGTAGATAACGATCATAACTTAAAATACTAAATTTTGCGAAAGAATGCACATAAAATTGAAAAAAATTTGTTGAAAATATGAAAAATGACCGCTTTTTTACTTGTGCTCACAAATGCTTCTTTTTTATCGGATTGAAGGTAGAAAATGAAATTTTTGCTCATTTCTCAATCACTCAACCTGGTCATACATTTTCCTCCGTCACATTTTGTTCCATATCACCAGTTCTGCATAAAAAATGTTTTTTTTTTTTCGCTAAAAATTCGAGAGTGCTAGTTATTTTTAAGAATTTTTTTTTTGCTGTTCTCTGATTTTTTGATTTTCCTCATACTGCAGATGACTTGTTGGCAGTCCTGATTAGAAAAAGGGCAACAATGCAAAATAAGTAATTCTGTCAGTTCGTACCTCATCCAACAAATTTTTCGGTTGGATGCATATGACGCTTTATTTTTAGCTCAACATATTTAAGGCATTTGTAATCAGAATTGTTTCAGTCAAGCTTAAAATTACGTGCACATGAAGTGAATGATGCGCTATGTGATCTTTCTGTTGGAACACGGCTCTATCATCTTATCTGTAAGTTTTTATGTTTTCTAGGTACTAGCAGAATCGCGCAGTTTATTGCTGGGAAGGAACTTTGATGTTACAGAAATGTGCCGGGCACAGCTGTGTATGAAGCCCCTCACAGCCTTCTCACACCCTATCTTGTATTAAGTCGCCATCAGACAGATGTCATCAAAGATTACCGAGATCCGCTCGTTTACCTCGTTGTAAATGCCACAAAAGTGATACGATAGCAAGCTCTGTTGATATTTACATTTTCTGCCGGGCTGAAACTGTTGCGCTTGGCGCATATTCATTTCTACTGGCAGCCGAAAAAAAAAGACGTGAAATTATCAAATTTTCTAATGATTTTGTTGTTTTAGTGGTACTAAAATGTATTATGCAGAAGAATAAGTTGGGCTGGAAGCAGCTGAGTGAATCGTCCGCATTATTATTTCCGCTGCTTCTTCGAGCATCATGCGCTCTAAAAGGAATTGTCGTTCTTCGCACTTTGTAAGTTTGCACTCACACTGTTTCCGGGTTTGCTAATATGCTAATTGTTCTATTGCATGCATTTGCATCGCTGAACATATCTGTGATTTTTCCTGGGAAGAACGTCCTTTTTCAGAACAAAATGTCGTTTAAGAGAAGGCAAAAAAAAAATTATTGGTAATTACACCTTTGTTTAAATAATGGCCTCACATTTGGCAGGTGGTGAGGAAGATCAGTAATCACTCCCAGCACTTCAGCTGATAACTAAATACAGCAAAATTTGTATTTTTTTTTTTTTTTT